AATCAGCACATGGAGGATTTCAGTAACACAGTAGACAATTATATAGACGTGTGTAAAATATAGGTCTATATGTTAAGGCAGGCCATACCAAACATACCCTCAAAATTTGATTTTACAAAGTTCATATAGTCTATTAATGTGGTACGGAAACAGAACTGTGTGCATGCATAATTGTACCCATCTGTGAATTTCTCTTTATTTATGGCATTATTAGGTTCTGAAAATGGGTAATTAATTCCAAAATACATAACAATGTATTTCTTATAAGATACAAAAACACAATAGGGTATTTTGTAGCTGAAAAAAGATTTACATGTTTCTTTTGGCCATATTACATTAATATACTCAGCAAATAAAGAACAGTGGATATATAAGAATAGTAAGAAAATAAAATACTGGGAGTGTTCAGTTGCATTTTAAATGACAACAGGATGCAATTATTGGCTTCATTCTTTCACATAGTTTCCATTAATAAATTGTTATTATGTTCAATTAAAGATGTAACAGAATAATCACCCCTCCTGCCTTATTATGGAAGATACACATTGAGAGTGGGAAATATGTAACAGAGGGAATGGTCCAAACAAATGGCAAAAATATTTTCTGTCTCTTTCAAGCATCCTGAACTCCTCTTTGAGAAGTAAAGCCTGCATCCCCGCCTCAGGCCACTGATTGGGATGGGCAGGGTAAGTCTTTTGTTATTTGTGGTACAGGACAAGGCTTAGCCCTGACCTGGTTGATGTAAATCCTGGGTGAAGGTCCCGGGATTATCTTCCCCTTAGATGGGACAGATTAGAATCATCAACTTTAGTTGAATAGCAATTGCCTGAAGCTCAAGGGCCTCCCTTTAAAAGCTCTGTATTTCTGCTTATTAGGAGGATGATGGCATTTCAGACAGGAGTCTCCACCCTCCTCTTTTGCTGGCAAAGTAATAAAACTTCTCTGTCCTTCTCCTCAAACTGCTAAAACTTCTCTTTCCTTCTCATCAAACCACTAAAACTTCTCTTTCCTTCTACTCAAACCACTAAAACTTCTCTTTCCTTCTCCTCAAACCACTTGTTTTCGTCCTTGTGATGCCGCCTTGAGGATAAGTGCCCAGCTTTCTGTAACAAAGGTGTCCATGCTTGAAAAGTTTTCACTCTTCTCCATCGGAATCATCATTCAATTAAAGCTATAAGCTCACTTTACTTGTAAGTTACAGGATACTTACAGATAACATCCTTTTCTTCAACTTGCTCACTTTATAACTGCACCCTAGCTTAATGTCTCTCTATCTCTTTCAGTATACTCTGAGCTTCCAGAAAGCAGAGCCATGTCTGCCAGGCCCACCATGGTATCCTCAGACCCAGCCTTCCCTGTCCTGTGCTGCCTCAGGCCTTGGCCCCCTGCATTCCAGTGAGGTGCTTCTCAGGAGTCCCCACAGTGGCTCAAGCCAGACCAGGTGCAGCTGGGGCTGCCATTTCGGGTAAAAGTTATCAACTCTGGTGGCCCACTATGCATGGTATTATACTAATTCTGCAGGCTCACAGAATGCAAGGGCTCTGGCAGCATGGCTTCCTCCACCTGGATTTGAATGGATGTTGTGACAGTCAGGGGTCCAGGTAGAGAGTTGTCACAGGGGAAAAGACACTACCAAGAATCCTCACCAAGGCAATGCCTAATGGAGCTACAGAGGGGGAGCTGACGCTGACACCCTAGACTAGAGAGAGCCGGATCACAAGCCTCCAACCTGTGAGAGCTGCTGAGTGCACTGAGCCCAGCAAAGCCATGCAGGTGGGGCTGCCTGAGGTCTGGGGCACAACCAACCCCCTCCCCTGGCGTGTCAGATGGCAAGTGGGATCAAAGTTTATTCTCAAGACTTAGGATTTAGTGTTGTTTGCCCTGATGGGTTTTGAACTTACTTGGAACCAGTGATCCCTCTTTTCTTGCCTATTACTCCCTTTTGGCATGGATCGTCTATCCTATACCTGTCCCCCATTGTATTTGAGAAGGAGGTAACTTGTCCTGATTCCACAGGCTCACAGCTATAGGGAAATTTGCCTCGGGATGAATCATTCCTGTCTTGAGTCTCACTCAATTTAAAGGAGACTGTGGACTTTTGAGTTGATCCTGGAATGAGTTAAGACTTTGAGGCTATATTGATTAAGTCAATGTATTTTGCATGTGAGAAGGACATGCATTTTGGGGGCCATGAGTAGAATGCTGCAGTTCAAATGTGTCCCTCAAAACTTATGTCTTGATAACCTGATC